TTGCGGCATTCCTCTGTCCTAGATACGCCACATACACACGGTCACAATAAGCCCATCAGCTTTCAACGAGGCCTTTTCACATGCTGACGATCAAAAAGGGTGCTAGAGTGCGTTCACCAGGGAGACTGGTTCACCTCTATAGACCTGAAGGATGCATACTTCCACGTACCCATCATCCCACAACACAGGAAATTCCTGCGGTTTTCATTCCAGGGAATATCGTACCAGTACAACCGTCTGCCGTTCGGTTATTCCCTGGCTGTGTGTAGAGACGGCACTGCAGCCGCTACACATAGGTGGGATGAAGTACTGTTTTACCTGGACGACCTGCTGCTGATGGCTCGCTCCAGGGAGGCTTTACAGACGGTACAGCTCATATCACATCTGTCAAAGCTGGGTTTCGTAATAAACTGGAAAAAGAGCTGTCCTCTTCTCTCCCAGAGTATTGTTTACCTGGGTGTGGAATTAAACTCAGCCCACATGAGAGCGCGACTCTCACGGCAGAGAGTGGAGACACTGACAGCTCTCCTTCGACGCGTCACACCCCGCAGCGTGGTGACAGCACTCTCTGTGATGCAGCTGCTCGGCATGATGGCAGCCGGTCACGTGGTGATTCCCCTGGGTCTCCTGCACATGAGGAGACTCCAAACCACAGGCAGTGGGGGGACAGTGGCCGGCTCACATGTCCTTCCACATAAACGTGCTGGAATTGCTCTCTGTCGTGCTATGTGGCGCGCCTGGCGCCGTTCTCAGCGCCTGTTTGTGCACTATAGAGAGCGCTCGATCAGGCAACCTCTGTCTGCACAACGGCTGTCACACTGGCTGTGTGAGGCTGTGTCACAGGCATATGTCTCCTCTGGGGTGGATCCCCCGGAGAACATCAAAGCGCACTCCACCAGAGGAATTTCCTCCTCCACGGCTTTGCACGGAGGAATGTCAGTGGAAGATATTTGCACTGCTGCATCTTGGTCTTCCCCCTGTTCATGTATTCATTTTTATTTGAGGGATGTCTCCCATTCCTCTCTGACACACCCTGTACTGGGTGTCCTGTCAGAGTGAGTGACGTCAGGGATCCAGCTGTGTGCCCCTCGCCTGCCTCTCGGCACGCGGAGAGCGGCTCTTTTTCCCTCTTATAGGAGGGATGTTCCTTTTTCCTCTGACACACTTTGTACGGAGTGCCTGGTCAGAGTGAGTGACGTAAGGGATCCAGCTGAGCGCTCTCCTACCTGTCTGACACGCAGAGAGCTGCTGTTCCCCCTCTATGATCGCTGGGCAAGGTGGGACGTTCGTCTCTACTTTCTCACAGCGGCTGGTATGTATTGTTCCCAGCCTTCACCCCATCAGGGAAGATAGGCATGTTTTGCTATGTTCCAGGGACGGTGATGGGCCATTACGCATGGCCCAACAGGCAGGGGGTGTTATTGAGCAGGTGTGTCTGTGCTTCTAGTGCCGGGCGGACCCAGTGGGGCGCAGACTACATCATGCTTCGCCCTTAACCCAATAGCGATAGCCTTAGAGGGCGAAGCCATATACGAAATAGAACTGAAGTTACCTGCTGTAACCCCAGCTTCTATGAGTATATTGCGTAGCCCTCTAAGTGCTGGGCCCCACTGGCTCCACGAATAGCTGAAGAAAAGTTATTTTGGATGGAAGCAGATTGTCGGGCCTCCTTCCTATTTATACCTGAAGGAAGCCCGAGGGTGGGGCCCACCTTGCGGGTGGGCGTGGACTACAAGTGTTTCAGTGCTGCGCGGGGGCGCAGGGGGATTACCCAATAGCGATAGCCTTGAGGGCTACGCCATTTACTCATAGAACTTCTAGAAGCTGGGGTTACAGTAGGTAACCTCAGTTCTCTGTCATTTTTCTCCTGGGTTGTTGTGATCACATGACTGAAAAAGCCGTGCTCTGATGGGCCAGAAGTCGGTTTGATTGCATTAGGGCTTGATTGCTTATCCTCAGTGGCGGCGCCAGAGTATTTTTGTTGGGTAATCTATAGTAGGGCTAACCATACAGTGGTGGGGCTCAAGTCAGTATTTGTAATGTAATTACATACACGCTATATCGCACCCCTTGACAGTGAAACGCACGCGTGAGGCTTTTATTAGCTTTTATTAGTCTCCTTTTATCAGCTAAATTACATCGAGAGCAACAGGTGTGAGTTAAAACAATACAATCGCCTATTCTGCTAATTCCACGTTGTTACAACATGCTACGCAGCAGCAGAAACAAGAAAAGTTGGCATATAGAATTGACACGGAGAGGGAGAGAGAGAGGGAGAGAGAGAGAGTGAGGGAGACACAGGTAAACAGAGAGAGAGACAGACACAGCACACAACAGGTAGCCTGTATCTCTATTGTCATACTACAACACTTTTTCAAATGACCCATTATTACAAAATATATTCAAAACTCACTATTCACTCTTCAGGTGGGTCGTGTGACTCTGGCACCTGCTCGACTTGTACCTCAATGCGAGGGCGTTTAAGAACAAATCTATCCATCCGAAATATACAATTAATCCTAGAAGTTCTGATGTCTGTCTGCATATTTACTCGGCGCGAGTTTGGGGACTTTTCACTGTGAACGTGACGAATCAGTAATGCATGACGCAGCAGACCCAACGTTTCGTTGCTCTGATTGGCTGTAGGTCTGTTCAAATTGCATTCGGAGGCATTTTGATCTGACCGCGGCCGCGCTGATATTATAACGCGAGAGAATGTCTACACCAGGGGTGCCCAACCTTTTTTGAACCGAGAGATACTTTTAAAGTTGCCAGTTTGCCGAGATCTACCAGTCCAAATAGAGAGGCATAGCCATTACTGACAGCCTAGCCTACTACCAGGTAAATACACACTTCTACTTGTATAAAACTGACCTTTGTACGATGAATACTTCATAAAATACTGCAGATCCTTTATCTTACCTCTTTCTAATCTACACATGTATTTAACTGAAGTTACACAATTGTTGTTGATACAGAGTTGGAGTTTATTCAAACGTCACATACTACAGTGGGTAATGTTTTCAAGAAACATTGAACAGTGCTGCCACATATGACACAGGAAAAAAAGAAAAGACTGAACCCTTTCTGTGCCATTATATAAAATTAGTGTTGCTACAAAAGTATAAATTAGGCTTACTAATAAGACAACTCAGATCTGAAGCTGCACAGGAATCTGCTGCCAAAGTGCAATAAAAAAAGACACAATTAATAGAATCAAACCCTTTTTTTGTTGCATTTTAGTAGAGTATAAAAATAAATGCTTTTAAAATAGGATGCAAGCAACACTAGTTTCTTAACCTGAATTGATAATAGACTATAATCAATTTAAACAGAACAGATCTGAATGTTTGCATTCTTATACCATTGTGTACAATAATTATAATGAATAAGTTCAAACAAACTAAAACGTACAGCTGATTAATAACAGTATCTAACTTGAGTTTTTATTATATCAAAAACCTGTTGAAATGCTACTGTTATTTTTACTGTTCCCCAAAAGCGCGTCGGCAACCTCCAGGAAAGCTTCTTTCACAACTTCGCCGTCTTTGAAAGACTTCATGTGTTTCGCAAGAACGTGACTGACACGATAAGATGCTATGGTAGCAGCCTTGCTCTTGTTGTTGGGCCTGGTGAAAATGGACTGCTGTGCATTTAGCTGTGCTCTCAGGCCCCTCCCCTTTTGGAGCGTAGGGCAGAATTAGGAGGGAATTCCGTCTCGTAGCGTTTGTGCACTGTTTTGAAATGCCGCTCCTAAATTACCCTTCTTCGGTAAAGCCACGCTCGCATTGCAGATGAGACAGATGGACTTTGAATTGGAATAGATACAAAAATCATCATCCTCCCACTCGGAGTGAAAATTATATAGGCCTATGTTGGGCTTTTTTGCTTCTGCCATAATTGCGGTCTTGTGTGTGTGCGGACTGTCACTCCTGTTGACACGGACAACGTCAGCGAAATACTGCCCAATGCCCACCAGCCACGCCCCGACACATGGGGTCACGCCGGCCAATCACAAAGCTTTGATGCGTTCAAGTGCATTATTCTGGACAGGAAGATTATGTTTCAGGACATTAACATACAACAGAATGTTGTTGTTCTATTTTTAGACACATCTCGCGATCGACTGGGAATCTCCCCGCGATCGACCGGTCGATCGCGATCGACTGGTTGGGCACCCCTGGTCCACACCTTTAGTGTATAAAACTCCCCCACTACTTAGACTATTCCTTGCACCCCTCTAGCATAAGCCCGAATGGTCTCAACCATATTGCGTCAGTAACGTGCACTTGTTGTTACAGCAGGATCAGTTTGTGTGTTGTGGACACGACCGGTAGATTTTCGCAATCCGTGTTCTCAACATGCTTACTTTAACATAATTTTTCATGGTCGGGCTAAGGTAGGGCTAAGCCATTTCTTGGTATGGCTGTAGCCTACCCCAGCCATACCCTGGCGCCGCCACTGCTTATCCTGTATGAGTAGTCCGGATGATGCTGCATTGCAATTTTGGACATCGAATTTTATACACCGAATTGTTTTACTTCAAATTTTTTTCACTTGAAGTTTTGGGATCTCAATTTGAACATTCGAATTGTTTTCACTTTAATTTTTACATTTTTATTTCACATAGGTAAATTCGGAGCAAAAACATTCAGATACATGATTTTCAAAGTCATTATTTCCAATGCTATAAATTTGGTGTCTAATAAAATTCAAATACTTCTGTCTCTTGTTTGCTTCCATACCCAACCCCCTTTGAATTGTAATATGTTAAAAAAAATGTTAACAACAATTTTGGCTTCATCCAATGTTACATTTCTGTTTTCAAATGGAATGCAAATGGGAAGATAATTAATATAATGCCAGATCCAAACCTAATGCTCTTACTGGACGTCATCAATTGGGGAGGTTTAATCGAGATATAAGAAATACTTTTCAGAGGTCAGATCCAGATGCAGAATGAATGTTTGTAATGTGTGTTGTTGCTATTTCTCCTGCAGGTGCAACAAGCCAGAACATCCATTCCTCTCCTGCCCGCTCACCTGTTTTGATGGAAAGGACGACATTCCTCATGATTTACAAGGTCATTCCTCTCACGTCCTGCAGAAATAGAACATTTGGTTCAGGAATGCATTCTAGCTATAAAATGTAGCAGATTTTTTTGGTTTTCTGCATCGGAATATTGAAATATTACTGATTAATTCTCACATGTACAGAACAAGAGTCTTAAAATCACACACAAACCTATTTTATGGTCTACTTGACAAGCTTCTGTCTGACGAGCATACATTTGGGATGTGATATGTTGTGTTCTTTGTTATTTACCTTCTATTATGCTTACTCTTTATGTTTTGTTATTGTGCCTTTTAATCTGAACATCTTCTGAAATGCAAATTAAAGCTAGAATCTGATATGGACACTTTTGTGGTTTATAACTATGCACTATCCCTTTTGAATAGAATAAATACACTTCATCTTCATTAACAATAGCCTGCAGTGACACTAAAGCTAATATTGTTTGCATGCATATTAGACAATAAGCAAACAAATGTCATGCTGTATGTGCTGATTGTAAATGTACTTGTTTCCAGGTTCATTATGTCACTAATTATAGTTATGAATGTGATCCACAGCGTGGAAAAGCATCACTTCAGGAGATTTCACCATCAGGATGTTGGATGGATCCCATTTCTACCTGAAGGATTCTGGGAATGAAAAGATCATCTTAGACTACGTCACAAAGCAGGTGGAAACATCAGAAATGGACTATTTATAATGAAATCTGTGTAAATCTTTTTTTTATTAAATAATTGTATAAAAAAATATTTCTGGATACATATGAGAAGTGAGAAATATTGTGTGGTAAATGAATTTGACTGAATGTTTGGTAAATATTAAAGAGTGATTCATTAAAACGTAATTGTAAAGTGTTTTACTAATATTGTTAATGTATGGGTAAGAGTCGCGCCGTTTAAAAAGAAAATAACCTTAATTTCACGAATTAGGTATTTATATGATGTGTTAATTCTAGTTATCTGTTGGATTTAAATATGCCAGATTAAGCTCAAAAAGCTTTTTTTATCAGCAGTTACAGATAATAATATAAATTAAAACTGCGGTCGCACTTGTGCGCGCAGTGATGAGCGGGCCCTCGCGTCCGTGCGCCTGTCGGGGAGGGCAGCCGGTCGTCCCGGCGTCAAGCAGACGCGCGCGAGTCCTGGGAAATGAGCCGTTTCTAATTTCTATAATTTTCGCGTCCCAGACGTCGAGGATCGATTATCGAGGAAGCTGTCTGGAGGAGCCGTAACCGAGGATACAAAGATGTAGAGGAGAGAGGAGAGCGGAGAGAGGAGTCTCTCTGGAGGAGCTATAACCGAGGGTACACTGAAGTATTCTCCGGAGACGATTTCAGCCAACAGTGATGTTTAAAAGAGGTGTGACGCATGGCTGGACTTCTATCAACAAAGCACAGCTCTGCAAATTGTTTCCGTTGTGATTATAAGCTATTTGAGATGATCAAATGTGCATCAGACTTTCTGCCGTTTACCGTTTGTTTACTCACTAATCACATCTCTCCTGGATGTTAGGCTATTTCTTTTTCAATACAACTGCTTTCATTGTGACGCAATGTTTACAGTGAGAACAGCTGCTGTGGTCAGTGCAGAAAGCAGAACAGTGTGTATAATATATATCGCTCAATAATAAATGTAACAAGCCTACATTTCACACTTTATTTGTAGGCTTTAGGAGATATCTACAAATAAAGAGCAGTTAGGGAGTGTATAGGTGTCTGTTGTAATGAATATGCCGCCAGCAAAGGGCGTTGTTGGACTAACAGTAGGTGTGTGTGTGTGTCTGTTTGTGTGTGTGTGTGTGTGTGTGTGTGTGTGTGTGTGTGTGTGTGTGTGTGTGTGTGTGTGTGTGTGTGTGTGAGAGAGTTGATGTGCCAGGCAGACAGGCAGGTCTCATTAGCTTATCTGACATATAATTGGTCAAAAATGGTACATTCTTCGTTAGCCTACGAGCTCCCCGTTTGAGCGAAGAACTATTCCTTCTCAATGTAGCATGACATTGGATATGCGCTGAAGTTGTCCTGGATTGGAATTTTTCCGATCATTCCCCTATGAGGAGTTTGCAGAAATGTCCTTAAAATGCATGAGAAACGCACATTTTTCAAAATGGCCGACTTTCTGGGGGTCGGGGCTAATGGAAGGCAATTTGAAATATGTGTGCAATCATAATAGCAATATGTATACAGCGTTTCGTGAATATTGGAAAAAGTATACGCGAGTAGTTTGGAGTCATTTGGAGTAATTTGTGACATGTAAATCGTAAAAAATGGTGTATTCGCTGTTAGCTTACGACCTCCACGATTGAGCTATCAAAAATGTTCTTCTCAATTTAGCATCATATTGGATAGGGGCTGAACTTGTGCTGGATTTGAATTTTTCCGATCATTCCCCTAGGAGGAGTTTGCAAGAATGTGCTTAAAATGCATGGAAAACGCACATTTTTCAAAATGGCCGACTTCCTGGGGGGTGGGGCTAATGGAAGGCAATTTGAAATATGTGTGCAATCATAATAGTAATGTGTATACAGCGTTTCGTGAATATCGGAAAAACTATATGCGAGCAGTTTGGAGCAATTTGCGCCATGTAAATCGTCAAAAATGGTGTATTCCCTGTTAGCTTACAACCTCCACGAGTGATTTTTCAAAAATGTGCTCCGCAATTAAGTATCATATTGGATAGGGGCTAAACCTGTCCTGCATTGGAATTTTTCCGATCATTCCCCTAGGAGTGCGCAAGAACGTGCTTAAAATGGCTGAAAAACGCACATATTTCAAAATGGCCGACTTTTTTGGGGGCGGGGCTAATGGAAGGCAATTTGAAATATGTGTGCAATCATAATATCAATGTGTATACAGTGTTTCGTGAATATCGGAATAACTATATCCGAGTAGTTTGGACTAATATGCGACATGTAAATCGTCAAAAATGGTGTATTCGCTGTTAGCTTACGACCTCCACGATTGAGCCATCAAACATTTTCTTCTCAATTAAGTATCATATTGGATAGGGGCTGAACGTGTCCTGGATTGGAATTTTTCCGATCATTCCGTTAGGAGGAGTTCGCAAGAAAGCTTAAAATGGCTGAAAACCGCACATCTTTCAAAATGGCCGACTTCCTGGGGGGCGGGGCTAATGGAATCTATTTACAAATATATCCGCAATTCAATGAGGAATGTCTGTGCCAAAATTCGTGAAGTTCTGAGAAACTTTATGTGACTACCACACAATAGGGGGCGCTAGTGAGCAGTTTTTTTGAAAATGTACGTTTTTTTTTTACATTTTCGAAAAAGTCTTGGGCTCTGACGTGTGTCCCAAGTTTTGTGTCCGAAGCTCATTTTATGCTATCGCAATTTAAAAATAATGTAGAGGCCACGCCCACATTCTGAATTTGTTGCGACACTTTAAATCTGAGTTCCTACCTTGCGAGTATGTGTAAAAAAAAAAAAATAATTCGTCCATCCGCTCTTGAGTTATAAATTGGTGATGTTTTTGGCGCCCCCTATAGTCGTAAATGAAAATTATTTGGTATGCCTATTTCCCAAGACAGATTGAACCTTTCTACCTAAATCTGTGGTGAATGGATACATTGTTGATGAGTTATGAGCATTTATTTCTAAGCCCCGCCTTTTTGCGAGCACGTTTTAATTCATGGCGGAAATATTTATCGTTTGAACATGCTCATCTCCTAGGGTAATGTGTCTGACCCTCCAATGATGCTGTATACGAAGTTTAGTGTTGAAAAACTGAAAATTGAAATTTAAGTGAATATGTAACTGTTTTGAACATTATGCAAATTTAAATTTAAAAAAATGTAGGCGGAGCTTAGGGTTCCAAGAGGATTATTTGTAGAGCAGGTCCACCCGGATATGTGTGCGAAATTTCAGGTCATTCGGAGTTACGGTGCGACTTTGTAAATGTATTCCAAAATGGGATTTTGATAGGTGGCGCTAGCGAGCAAGTTGGAATATATTAACCCATTGACTCCAGAATGATGCAATTTTTACCGGTTCTGGCGTGAAAAATTATACAACTTTTGAAGTATCCTAAAGGCCTCAAAAACAGGAAAGATGGCGACTAAAAATAATAATACCACCAATAACAATAGGTGCCTCGCACTTCGTGCTAGGACGCCGTCGGGTCCTAGCGCTCCGTGCTCGGGCCCTATCAAGAGAATAGCAGCCCATGTTTTGCTTTTGTATTGATAAATGAATGAATCAATGATTATTGATAGGGATGCTCCGATCGATCGGTCACCGATCGATATCGGCCGATACTCACTCTCTACCGATCGATCGGTGCTCTCTAAACATGCCGATCGCGAGAGCCGATCGCATGACGTAAAATACATGACACTTTTCTCTGTGTGCGGCAAAACAAGCTCGCCAAAATGGCTTCACCGGTCTGGCATTATTTTAAGGTGTCCGAAAAAAGACAGTAAAATAGCGGTATGCAACGTGTGTGAAGCAGAAATCCTGCAGCTCCGCCCGCCGGACAGGTAAGCGCAGCGAAACACACACACAGGGAGAACCAGACCGCAGTTCATTTCCTCATATTCCAAACGAGAAATTACGGTAGCAAATCACCCGGTTCTTTACGACCAGAACTATTAACGGGATACAAACCGGAGGAACCAGGCATGGAGGGAGGTGGCAGAGACAGTGGGTGAAACTGGTAAGTTTTCGCCTGTTTGGGGAGTTTATATATATATTGCTCGCATAAAATCCCCGGGGTTTTTTGCTTTGTATGTCGGGGGCGGGAGATTCATGTGATTGGTTGTTGGTCGCGTTGCTCGCAAAAAATCTCCAAGCTTTCAGACACGCCCAGCTCCAAGATTTTGAAGATTTTTGAAAAGCTGCTGTGTGGACGTACCGTAAGAGTTAGACCTAACACACTTAGCTATTTTATCTACCTCTGGAACAAGCTAAACTAGTTATTATAAATATATGTATTCTTCATTGTCGGGTCACTCATTACTGGATCAGTGAGCTGCATGAGATACTGACAGGCTGTCAGGAGAGGGAGAGAGGGGGGAGAGAGAGAGGGAGAGAGGAAAAGAGAGCGCTTCTGCTAATTTCTCCCGTGTTATTATCCAAAGTGAATGTAAACTTGAATAATGTACATCATTTGAATGTAATAATTAAGTTGATTGTTGTTTGTGGAAGCTCCAGTGAATGAGCCCCATTAACTGAGTTTTAAACATCACTTTAAATGGAAGATTTAAAGTGATGTTTAAATCTTCCATTTAGGCCCCGCCCACTCGATCGGATCGGCGATCGGCCCCGAAATTGGCGATCGGAGCATCCCTAATTATTGATTTACCAAATCAGCTGTGGATACATTTTTGACAAATTATTTCACATATACACAATTTGACTATACAAATATTTGATTTTAATTTTTTCAAATCTATAGTTAAAATGCATTCAATTCAAAGTAGTCAGTAAAAGTTTTCTGTGCTGGAGGAATATATAATATACAGTATTTGTCAGTTTGCTTAGGCACAGATGTGTGAATAAATATAATATGTCTTTATCATACATGTGACATTTTTACAATGGTGTTATTCAAGTTCAACCTCAGGCACTGTTCTGTATGGAAGCCCTAAACAGCCATCTTCAAACATTTTATAAACCATGTTTTCCTGTAATAACAAATTCAATAAATTGTATTCCCAAGTTTGAAAGTTATTTATGTTAATTTCCCCAAAAAACAAATGTTTTCCCCAGATAACGAGATATGTTGTGTAGCATTAAACGTATTTCTTTCGTTCTCGAGAAAGTTATTGTTATCTCGATATCTTTTTGCAAATGATCCTATTATTTTGATAAAACTATTTTTTTTATTTCCAGATAATGACATGAATAACTTGTGAGAGAACAATGAAATGAATTCATGATTGTAGAAAAAACGAAGGAAATACAATTTTTGAACCATGGCCGTTTAGGACTTCCGTAGATCTGAGATAAATTGGAAAAAACACTACATTTTAAATGATAGAGCTGGAATTTCCTTAATTTCCCTCTAATGAAATGATCACTTTATAAACACACAATTTATAAATATCTATATTCTTAAAAAAAGGTTTCTACATCACATTCACGGATAAGATACTCCATAGGGACTGATTTACGAAGTGCTGCTGAATAACCACAGTGCATACGGGGTCTGTGCTTTACAGGCAGTTTCCCTTTGCTCAGTGGACGGTGAAGTTAGAGCAACAGGAGGAGCTGAGGAGCTGAGGGGCTGAGGGGGGGGGGGGCACAAAGGTTGTGGGACTGTGAATGTTTCGTATAAACACTCAGGAGTGAGATTAAGCATCTGGCCGGAAAATAAAACATTCCCTAGTCAATATTTGAGAGTAGACGGTGCAAAGTCTGAGGTCAGGTTCTGAGTCTCCTGGAGGCTGCTACATGGAGCCATCATAATAGTATGGTGGTGGGGGGGGCGTGGCTGGGGGTGGAGGCGTGAGAGGAACGTCGGCCTGCAGGAAGGAGTTGTCTGAGCGGGTGCTGATGCGCGGAGGGGCCAGGCGGCGCAGGTCGCTGGGCCCCCGCGGCAGCCGGACCTGAGCCCGCAGCGAGGGGGCCACCCTGCTGCTGTCCAGCTCCGACTCCAACAGCCAGGGGGGGGTCTGCACCGGGGCCAGGGGGTCCAGGTCCGGTATGAAGGCCGGGTTCTCTATTCCAGCTGCACCAGAAAGAGACACTGATTAGTGCTGACAGGGTTTGGGGGAGATATATTTAAAAGGAGTTAATGGTACTTTTACCAAAGAGGGATTTCCCTCAACAGTTTGAAGCCCACAAGAGGTTAACTTCTAAAAAATGTAACAAAAATTGCAAAGCTTATAAGACTTTTTTTTTCTTTTTTAAACATTCATGCAGTGTAACTTTATTAATTCCTTCTTATCCAACTATTTACAACTCTAAAATACCTAACTGTACAAGTATTTTAAACTAATCCAAACTTACAACAGTAACATATTTCCAGACTTGGAGATGCATTCAAATTCTATTATTGTCGTATATACTGTATTCAAATGGGGTATTTTCTCTTGAAAAACAATACTCTAAGTATTCTTTGCTCTGTTTTAAATATTTATATATATGCAGTATATATACGAATTTGACTGAATTTATTTTACATGTAATAGCTTATTTATAAAAAGTTGTATTGGTACTCTTAGTAGTTCTTCCATCACAGGTTAAAGATAAGTGGAATAGATAATGGATTTATTGACCTCCTGCCCTGTAGGTGACCCTCATTGGGAATGAATGGCCTGAAGCTTCGTAGCCAGAGGCGTTGTCTCCCTCTGAGAACTCAAAATCTAGAAAGAACATTAAAAATAGTTTTTCAAAAAGAAGGTTTTCATTAAACACTTGGGCTTTGGCTCCAGGGCGTATAACAAGTTCCTTTATAATGAAAACAGAAACAAACCTTCATCACCAGAATAGTTGGTTTTACTTTTGTCCCTTGATTTTCCATTTGGCATCTGCAGGAGGTAGAATAATCAGTTTATCTTTAAATAACAACTTGAAAATAAGTTACAAAATGTGAAACGTACATCAATAAAACGCACATTTGTACTGTTAGGGCTGGGTGTATTTGCATTTAGTGTACATTTTTGGAATTCTTTAATAAATATAATCATATTGTCCTTTTTTATTAATAACAGCAACAATACCTAGCCCTTTTGGCAATTGCCTAAAATCCCATGTATGTAATGCAATGACCTTCTGCTGCTGGTCTTTCTTTGGGTACTTGGATATCGCCTTTGGTGGAGCGACGCCCATCTTCGTGGACTTAAAGGACTCCAAACGGCTCCTCATGGTCCTCTGGAAGATCTCCTGCACCTCATTCTCATCTTTGTTGGTGTTGAAGTGACTCCGGCTGTATCTGTGGCGGTGCTGCACGCCAGAAATTGAGAGAGAATACGATTTTTTTGAAGGGATTTTACACAAAATAAAAAAACAAGTTCAGTTTACTTGACAATTTGATCATTCTCACTTTAAAGAATAACTGATCATGACAAACTCAGGCAGGGTTTGTAGGAAAGTGGGTTATTATATGGCAAGTGGCATGTCATTATGTTGCATTATGGGAAATTAAGGCTACCCCATTCCTGGTGCTAGCAGTGACTTAAAATCTGGATATCTTGCCCTCTGAAGCATTCATTTTGACCAATCTTCCTTTAAAAACTAAATATGTACTCTTGTGAGTCATAGAGCAATATGGAAGTGCAATACTTTATTGCTGTAGTATCCTTTTATTGTTATGAATGCAGTGTATAGTAATGAGACTGAGTATGTCTACCTGCTTCCTGCCCTTGTACAGGTGCTGCTGCAGCAGGTGGTGAGTGTTGATGTCCTCTGACTCCCTCATACCGTTCATGGTCTGCTCGTGCATTTCCAGGCTTATCGATGGCACAGGGTCTCTTCTACAGCAGGAATAAAATATGTCAGTTGTTATCACACAAAAGTACAGCACTCATTTATGGTTCTCATCAAATCTGGTGGAGATTTAGATCTGCATGGTCTGTGCAAGATCATTCCTACGTGTATGGTTTGTTTCCAAGGGTGAGAAAAGATGATGTGACTGTTTTTAGTCACCAGGGAGCAGTGTCTAAGCAGATATTATGTAAGGAGATATTCAATCCAAATCTAGTTTTCAACTTATAAATAATCTATATTTACATGTATTTAAACTGAATAAAACTAATGAAAGGAATTCAAGAGTTTTGTAATTAGGTTATTTTTCTGGTTGAACTTGTTGGTGTATTTATAGACTGCCTTCTCATGTGATTGATGTGTGAATCAGGCTAATTATTTGCTCACCTCATAGGAGACATTGCACCGTGATCGTCTGACGTGTCCGCTGTGATGTCAGGCATGACATCTGAGAAGTCATCACCAAACTTCTTCTTGAAGTCGATGATGGCAGTTTCATTGCGGATAAACTCCAGAGAGCCTCGACGTTCACCCTGCAACATCGAGAGGAGAGAACTTAGATCAGCACTAGAGCTTACGTCTGTTTTTTTTTTACCCTTGTGCCTTACTACGGACATTTCTGGCTTTTTCATTTAGAATTTTCCAATCATTACGGCTGTGTTAATGCATATGGCATACATTTTTGCAATGTTGTAGGTTATTTTTTCCCAAATCCTGGGAAGTTCAACCTCAGCTCCTATTAAAAGTCTGTCAATGATGAACTGAAGACAAATACAGACACTCAGAACTCAGCCATAGCGCCAGGATTTCAATTGTGGGTGGGCCAATGTAATTTCGGCTGGGCCTGTTCAAATGTTTTCTCGCGATTTTTGTTAATAATCTAATAAAAATAGGCTATGCCTAGAATGACATTCGTGTGTACTGAGAGCATAGTCGATGTGTTTCCAGTCCCTGTAACCATGGCGACTGAATGTATCTTCTCCGCCGGCCCCGCCTCTCTCTCTAAAATGCTGGCACATTTTACAAAACACACTGTCCTTGCTAATGCTATACTCCAAGAATGTGTACTTGTCATACCAGTGGGCAGCGAAGTGGGCACAACATTAAACACACTCATCTCTCTGAGATGAGTGGCACCTGCTGTGAGGATGATGAATGTGGTGGTTCCGGTGTCTGTTCTTGCTCTTTAAAAAAAACCTGAACATCGATTCTTGTGACATCGTTAGTGAGCGCGGTATATTTTTTGTGTCTGTCCAGTCCACTGTCCTCCTTTGTCTGCGCGCGGCCGCGAGACGTTCTACGATGTGTTTGCTCCCGCGCTTCGACTATGAGTTCGGCCTGATTACGTTAATTAATGTTGCTTTTAATTTGATTTATTTTTTAAAGGGAAACACATGTTTGCTCTTATTTTATTATTTAATTGTTAATTTTGATCAAACATTTTGGAAACTATATTTTCGCCCAGTCATTTTTGATCAATGAATGGGTGGGCCCATTGCCAGAGGGTGGGCCTAGGACCAGTAGGCCCAGTAGGCCCACCCATAACGCCGCGGCTGTCAGAACTGCAACAAGATTACAAAAGATAACAACAGATGTCTTCACTGAAATCCATTCATGCATACTAATGTTTGCTTTTTCCTGGTTTCCAGCAGGAAAAAATCAGAATGATTCAAAATCAACAGTGGTATTTTGAAAACAAACTTGCATTTAAAAGGTTAACATTATGAAAAGGTATAATTATTTGGAGGCTTTGATTAAGACTTTAGTTGGTTGAAAGATTTAACACATTAAGTGAAAATTGAAAATATTGAAAAATATAATGGTATAGCTGTTGTTTGACATTTTGTCCTCCAGAGCAACTTTTAAAAAATGGAGTCGCATGGGTTATTAGATCATGACAATAAAATGTGTCCACCTGGACAAATTACACTTGAATCGGCTTGAGACTGATTGTGCTCCTCACCTCCTCCACGTAGCTCATAGCATCCTTGAGGTTCAGCTGATGGAAGACGTTGAAGACGTAGTCGCGGCTCTTCCTCGCCGACGGCTTCATCAAAATCCTCGACATCCACTTTTCCTCAAAGTGATTCCACCTTCAGAGAGAAACAGGAAATGATTAAAGCTTCACGTAAACAGTTCATCTAATTTATTAATGTCATATTTTCAGATGTCTTTACATACTTGTCCCTCATGTAGTTATGTCCTATTTGTCCAGAGATATCTTCTATTGCGACAAGCATGTGATCGAACACCTGCACAACAGGAGCAGAGATTCTTTAACAGCTGGAGTGCAGCCATGTAACTTATTATTCTCGTTGCTGTTTAACTTTGAGCTCTACCTTGTTTTGGAGCTTTTCTACGAGTGTGATGTCAGTCACTGCAGCCCTCTTTACTTTAAGCCAGTTGACCAGAGGCTTCATTGTTATTCCCTGCAACAGAAAGAGAGATTGCCAAATGAAGCTGTGTTTGTGGAGGAAAGCTACAAAAACACTTTATTTATTTTATTTATTTAGCCTTTACTAAATCAGGTGTCCCTTTGAGATCGTATATATATATATAACTTAAAAGGGACACCAGGCAAAAAATGGAAACAACATCGAGTTTCAACAATTAACCCAAAAATACATAGAAGTTTTATTTAAAATGATCAAAAACTAATTTGCACATACTGTAGACCTGCTGGACTGAAAATATTTCACCCTTGCTTTAAACTCCTTCAGAGTTACTACGTTTTGAAGTTAAAGATCAGTTTTACATGCAGTAAGTACGGTGGCCTACAAGTGCAAACACGATACAACGGCCAAAAAACCTTCCATTAGGAAAAACTTGCTGCTCCTTTAAAAACTATGCAAATAAAAAACATGAATGCGCCAAAACATATACGAATGAAGAAACATCTTCACCAAATGGATAACACATGCGCGCGCAGCATTTAGAAAACATTCATCAACTTGACGAAACATGCGCATCATTTACTAAAAGTGCTGCACAAACAAAGTGATGCATAGCAAGGATTCAGGAATTATAAAGTTGGCCACCTGTCACTGTTGCAGAGTTTGTCTGCTTTCTTTAATTTGTAAGTGTTTTGTCAGTATATTTGAAATGAATAGGTTAGCTAAGTTAGCTAGCTTACAGCAGATCTGCAATAATATCGAAAGAATCATGTGATCACATTGTTAAAATAAACCAATAAAACGTACATTTTAAGTTTGAGTGATTTTTTTTATATGCAGTGCTCGTAGTAAACGCTGCGCATGTTTGGTCAAGTTGATGATTGTTTTCTAAATACCCGTTGGTGAAGATGTTTCTTCATTTGCATGATTTTTGGCACATTTGTGTTTTTATATTTGCATCGTTCTTGAAACTGCAGCCGTTTGTCCTAATGAAAATGTTTTGGGCCGTTGTAGCGTGTTTGCACTTGTCGGCCACCGTATACCGTAAGTATGTTGAGAAAATCTATCAGTTCTGACTTAGGGAACAACTAAACGCAAACTGTTCTGCAAATTTAAATTGTAGTGCCCATTATTACATTTTAAAAGATAGAGAGAAGTAGAACACTAGGTGCCAATACATTTCTTTAGCTTGGTGACAAAATTCAAATAGTTACCTGAAGAATTACAGTGAAGTACACGACGATTAGAGAAGTGCAGACCATCAGATTCTTCTCCTTTATCTTGGCCTCATCTAGCATCGTAGCCAGGCCGTATGCGACAGCGCCTCGCAGGCCACCGTAGCTCATGATCAGCTGATCTATGAACTCCACGCGGACCAGTCGGTACCTGTTCAGGATCCAGGTGAGGACAAAGACCCCTGCAGCACACACACATACAGACTGGTTGTGACCTCTGATATAAGATATCGTACTGTTTGCTGACAGCAAAATATACAAATCTCACCGATGAATCTGTAAATGAAGATGAAGAAGAGCGTGAGCAGGATGAAGCCCGTGTTCCACACCCAGATTGTCTTATCAATGGCCGAGATGCCGAGGAATACAAAGATGATGGTTTCTGATCCGTTGGCTAACACCTTCATCACATATCTGACTGTGGTGACGGACCGCTCGTCCATGTTCGTATTGATGTACTTCTGACAGCACATGCCACAGAAGACGATCCTACAGACCAAAAACACAGGAATACATTTAATATAAATAAACAGTTTTATGGATAAATGTCTCCTTCCATAAATCAGGGTTCCTATAAGTTCTTATGGGCCCAATTTCCTCAAATTCGATTACCCAGCATCATTTCAATAATTTCACTAAAAAATACCTAAGCCTATGTCTATTTTCAAAAAGGTTCAATGCCTTGATTTTTCCCTTTTAATTCACAAATATAAGGGCTTTCAGGACCTGTGGGAACCATGATTCATTCGCCCAGAGGGTGTAATAACATGGACACAAAAGTAATAAAACAAACTGACGAAAGGATGGCCGACAGGGACAGCATCTCCGCGGTCAGGTAGGAGAGGTATCCCAACACGAAGACGAAGCCAGGCTCGATGATCTGGATGTTTTTGGTGCCTCTGGTCAGAAAAGAGATCAGCAGGCCGAACACAAAGCCAACGAGAGAACCTCCAAACGCCACCACGAAGAAGGAAACTGCAGAGAGAGAGAGGTGTAAAAAGTTATGTTCTGCAAACGTGTCTTCATGCCAGGGTTCCAAGGAAGGAAAGTTAGATTTAAAACGTGTTAAGACTTATTTAATGCCACTCAACATTACATTTACGACCAACTTCACGATAACCAATATTGAAAAACAACATCAATACGGTTGGGAAACGTTTGCCCAAATGTTTAATATAACATACAGATGTAATTTTGGACGTCCCTACCGCAGTGATCAGCACAGACTCGATCCTCGCTGAAAGGAAACCCCCCCGCATGACTTGATACCCCCCTCTATAAATTATAATGAAACCAGCGGCAATGGATCATGGGGGAGCAGTGATTAGAAAGCTGCCACACTGGAACTCATGTGAAATAAACAGCTGATAGATCTACCGCGGATCTTTGTTAAGATCCATAAGTTACGGATAGGATCATATTCTGTGCTAAATAAGAGACATGTAATCAGGGCCGGCCCTAGACTTTTGGGGGCCCTAAGTGAGCTTTGGCTTGGGGGCCCCCCTCACTCTAGCGCGTTCTCACTACACACAACACGGAACCAACTTTTGTCTTATGATGTTAGCATAAGCACACATATTGTATAAATAAGCATGTAAACACAGTGGACCTAATACTCCCCCGGGATTTTTTTTTAAATATTGAAGTTGAAAGCATCAATCTGGTGCACTTTGAGAGCAAAATTAAGAGATCTATGGATACATCTCTCAACACCCATATGAAAGAGAACTGTAAACAGATTTTTCTTTATGGATATTTTACAAATCACTCCCCTTTTAAACTGTATTCTTGTTTTACTGTCATATAGTATTTCATAACTGTTTTTCATTTATTCTCTCTGGCTGTCCATCTCATAATGTTCACATAGAAACTAGCTGTCAATAGGAATATCATTCAGAAGAATTATAATTTCATGCAAAAATCTGTCACAAAAAGAGGTTGCACATTTAAATTCAGGTGTTGTTATGGCAACGTCAGTGGCCAAACAGCCACATTTATTGCTGCAAATACGCAGGGTTGCCAACTCTCACGCATCTGGCGTGTGACACACGCTTTCACTCTCAATGTCACGCTCTCACGCTGCCCAAACTATTCTCACGCCAAAAACAAGATGAACCGGCGATCGTTTTTGGTTGGTTATTTACAATGTTGAGTTGACAGCTGCTCAAGCTTTAGATCCGCTCCCTCCCCGCCCCCACCACTCTTAACAACGTTAACAGACAGCAGAGCAGTGGGAGCCGGTTGGTCAATCCCGGACCCGTATTGCGCATGATACTACTACATACTAAGATCCAGTAGAAATGATAAAAAAGTAAAAGTCTGCTGCTTATTCATCATCATCAGCTTTATTTAAAGAGACTCTTGGTCCATTATTAAAAGACATACAACACTCAAATATAAATTAAAAAAGGCAGTTATACCAATGTTTCCACAGAGGTGACTGGTATCGTATAGCACTGAGACACGGATTTGAAAGCAGCATAATGACAGAGTTATGAGAAACATTCAATCGACAGATTAATTTGTACATCAGATTTATCAAGAGAGCATGGAACGTGTTGACTCGTGCATTACTACACGTTCTACTAGGCCAAAATAGAGTCAAAGAGTATATGAGAGTGAGAGTGTGTTAACCCTCTATCTATGGCATACTGTTGCCCTCAGGCAACCAACCACTTTTTTCGACCTCACACTGGCCCTCTAAATATTTTAATTTTTTTAAATATACACAATGTCACCTGACATGCTGGTGTCCAATAAAATGAGGGAATTATATGGGTGTGGCATTTTGTCTGGGGGTGGAGCAGTCCTTTCTGCAAGCAAAACTGCAGGGGACTCAGGGCATAATATGCAGTTTGGAGTAAGTCTGTAGATTTGTTTGTGTGTGTGTGTTTCATGTATAGGCCTCTCACGATAATTAATTGTGTTGGATACATTTTCCCGGAAATTATTGCGATAAACGATAATATTGTCGGCACCGTTGTATGACCATTTTAGACCACTGACATAATGATAATATATAACAATAATTCAAGTACATCCTTTCAAACTGCTAGTCACATCCTCATGTAAATGGCAATTTATCGAGGTCAGAAAAGTTATCGAATTCATTTTTATTTATCGTAGCCTACGATAAGTCAATTAATTGCTTATCGCGACAGGCAGTATGCACACAATAAAACAGTGGAAACAAACATGTGTTTGACTTTCATTAGTGAATGAAACTTTGTGCCCTTTATGGTCTGTGTCCAATATTGTGTATTTGTATATCCTATATATATGCTAAGGTCCCGCTACTGACACGATAGCAGTCATTTAGTGCGCATATGTGTAATTAAACCCAGTGGCGGCTGGTGGAAAAAAATGTTGGTGGGGCTTTTGATATAGTGAGTAAAACATTTTTTTTTGGGAGAAATGACCCCTTAAATTAGGACTTCTGGTGATGTAATGGCGCGTTTCCAATGCAGCGCGGAGCTCGCTTTAACGGCCCGTCCACACAGAGGCGTGCGTTGAAGCTTACAACGCTTCTGCCCATTCACTTTGAATGGGGTGACGTCACTTTTAGCCGAACTGCATTTTGGGAAGCGACGTGGAGCGTTGCTGGCGTTGCTCGCTTCAAAAGTTGAGCAATGTTCAACTTTTGACGCCTCGACGGAGGCGTCAGCCAATGAAATCCCGTTTATGCAAATCTACCAGTACAAGCGCTAGCCAATCAAACCGCGTGTATGCTGGGAGAGACTACGCAGGTCATTTCCTCATATTCCAAAAAATGGAGGGAAAATTCATTATAGCGGTAGTGAATCACCCGGTGCTGAATGATCAGTCTCTGTTCATCTACCGGGATACAAACCGGAGGAGCGAGGCATGGAGGGAGGTGGCAGAGACAGTGGATGAAACTGGTAGGTTTTCGCCTGTTTGGGGATTTTATATCCAGTTTACTTCGTTTTAACATTGCTATTGCTTTGTATGTCGGGGGGCGGGAGATTCATGTGATTGGTTGTTGGTCGCGTTGCTCGCAAAAAATCCCCAAGCTTCAGACACGCCCATCTCCAAGCGTCAATGCACGCTGCTGTGTGGACGCTCCGTAATGCTGCGTTCAGACCGGACGCGATGCGAATATTCGCTTCGCTCTAAACGCTCCTATCGCATCGCTCTAGTCGCTCGAGTTTCACCGCGGCTGCCAGCTGTGTTTACTCGCATCATTCAAACAAGACGCGCTGGCTCGGGAGCTACAACTACAACAAAATGAACATATTTTACCGTGATTAAATTGTAATACACGTTTCTAAATGATGCCGACGTAACAACATACTGATACCGGTTAGTAAAAACCATAAATTAATGCTTTGACAAGTCTGAAGACAGACGGCAGGCGAAAAACCTTTTAGAATGCTTGTTTTCTGAATGGAGCTTGGCTAAACTAACGTTATATATGCTCCGAACGTCCACACTCACCACAACGGCCTATACAGACATAAATAAACCAGCGACTGTATTCTCCATGACACAGACAGTCTGTGGTTTGTACTTGTTTAACTTTTGTCTAGTTTCTGAACAGATCGTATCGGCTGTTTGAAGAGCAAGCATGGGAAACAAAAGATAGTATTTACCTGTTTGCATCGTTTGCATCCAGCTAGCCTCGTTGATACGTTTTGTCTTTTTCACGAGCTTGCTGTGATATATACAAATCGGGTTGGTCCGGTCCAAGGTCTTTAAGTATCAATTTATCTCCCAAACTTCTCCTTTGGAAAGGATTGGAGAGTAGCTCTTGCACGGAATTGGGTGCGGACCGAGGTCCGGCGACTCCACCTGCACACCATTCTCATCCAAATACTGCATCACCTTGGTCACTCACGAGTCTAAAAAACAACTCACGTCACATAAGCAACGTGGGCGCCAACGTGAGCGCCCTCGTGACCAAAATATTTGATGGCGCTGATTGGCTGAAATTATGTTTCGGCGGCACAGTTTACTATTGAGACTTTTGCAACGTGCTGGTTGATGCTGTTTGTCTCGGGGGCTCCGCCCGGTAATGATAAACTAATGCCATGGGCAAGGCCAGGCAGGAAACATGTGACTTATCGGTTACTTTAGACATCGTAACACAATTTTAAACGAGATTTTATTGTAGATTATACATTTTACTGATACCAATTGTATGATATTTACCTTGTTCATTAAAAATAAAAATATAAAATATATATATTTTTTAAATATATATTTTTTAATTTAATATATTTTTTAATTATTTTTTTGGAATGTGGGAAGAGGTGGGGCGGCGCCCCTAGCGCCCCTATGGGCCGGCCGCCACTGATTAAACCCATGATATCAAAATCTCACTCCAGCCAGGTACCCAAAGTTGGCAACCCTGAAATACGTTCAAACATGCTGTCGACACGTAAAGTAGTGGCAACTATGCCACCATTTCAGCTGCCTTTTCTCAGAAATACTGTCACATAACATCCATTTATTTCAGTGCTAGGTTGATGCTTAGCTAAACTAACGATGAAACACTTTAACTGACAGGACTCAGGATCAACTGTGTACTGTAAGGTAGCTTCTAGCTTCATGTCGAACAGTAAGTCAACATTTCCGAGAGAGCTTTCTTTGAAATCACCAGGTAACGCTAAAAAACATTAAATTTAGATTGTATGACAAATTGTTTATTTAATATATCTGGCTAGCTATAGCTACTTGCTAACGGTTTAGCTTAACCCCGCGATTCAAAGTAACGTCAACGTAGCTGTAATTTATGCTTTGCTTATATGTTCGCATAACTTGGAAGTTTACTGACATTTACATACCTTGTTTACCTGGCTCAAGTGGTGGCTCTGGGGTTGTTGTGTGAACCACCACTTGAGAATTGTCGTCTTTTTTAAGAAATTGTTTTCTTATGTCCATCTTCAAAAACTCTGAGTCTGACTGACAGTTTAAACATTGTCACAGCTAGTCAGCCAATGAGACAGATGTTTATTTCCATGCAACTCTCTGGTTGGTCTGGTGTCTTGCCTCTGTTGCATTCACTGAACACGGGAAATTACAATCCTGCCGTCCTCTCTATTGTCATGATGAGGTTCAGGTAAAGCACAGTTAATGTATTATATTATTGACTCTATAATATAATACATGACTTTGAGAGTAGGCAATCTAGGCATATTAACAAAATTAATTAAACATAATTATCACGGCGACAGTGTGCTGAGATTATTATTATTATTATTTTTATTTATTTTTGCTAGGGGGCCCCTAGTGGCTGTGGGGCCTTAAGCGGCCGCTTATGTCGCTTAATGGGTCGGGCCGGCTCTGCATGTAATCATTTACAAAACATCCCCATGTTTGTATTTAACAAAATAATGTTGTTTAATCCACACCACTACAACTACAAACTACAAAAACAATCGGTTTGTTTTTTCATCAGGAAATGCAGCCCGGCTTAAACAAACATCCTCACCAGAGCCGACCCGACCCATTAAGCGACATAAGCGGCCGCTTAGGGCCCCACAGCCACTAGGGGCCCCCTAGCAAAAATAAATAAAAATAATGTTTCATATGGGTGTTGAGAGATGTATGCATAGATCTCTTAATTTTGCTCTCAAAGTGCACCAGATTGATGCTTTTAACTTCAATATTTAAAAAAAAATCTTCCCGGGGGAGTATTAGGTCCACGGTGTTTACATGCTTATTTATACAATATGTGTGCTTATGCTAACATCATAAGACAAAAGTTGGTTCCGTGTTGTGTGTAGTGAGAACGCGCTAGAGTGAGGGGGGCCCCAAGCCAAAGCTCGCTTAGGGCCCCCAAAAGTCTAGGGCCGGCCCTGATCCTCACGATCATTTAATGTATCATATGTTCGCCAAATTGACATGAAAGCACTAACAAATATGAATTTGCTGTAGTCAACTTCACTAAAACGTTATTAACGTGCCGAAACTCAGTAATTCACTAACAATAGGTTTATTTTTAATGGAGCCTCGTCATCTCACCACGGGCAAACAAGAATATGTACAGTGTTAATAGTTTACTGTATTATTACTGTTTAATATTACTATATATAACCTATAACCATTGAGTTCATTGTTGTGCAATGATAAAATCAGACCATTGTTTTTTGAAATAGTCTTTATGAAACTCGGCAGCTCTCAGGTGATCAGCTGTGTGTGACTCTCTTTGTTTACACACTTAATGTAAATCATGACTTTGTTGGTCCAAAAAATCTACTTCAAATGGTAAAAAGAATTGGACATAGCAGAAAATGTGTTGGCTAAACTAATCTGTGTGACATTAATGTGAGAGGCATTTTGTAAATGATTTGTCAGATGAATGAATGAATGTCAGAAATAAACAATTCAATCTTAGAATTTAAGTTAATATCAATTAAGGCCTCATTTTTAGATCAATTAAATACATTTAATTACATTTTTTAGGACCATCTACACACCACACACCCACATACATTATTCCATACTAAACGGTAAGTAAATGTCACTCCTTACTTATTCCTTTAATGATCTCCACTGCATCAATTTGTGGTCCTCCCAGCGACACAAACGCATCAAAGACATTAAAGAGCACCTAGGAGAAGAAGAAGGAAATGAGGAAAATCAATGATAGAATAATTACCGGACTGATCCACGTCTATTCATTTGAAATGCTTTTACTTGTCCTTATTTATTCCTCTTATTTATATGCAATTTGTTTATAATGGTCTGTCTTTGAATTGCTGTACACATGGTTTCCTTGTTTTCTGTGATTTGAGCCCTTCTTATTGTACTTGTGTGATATTATTCTATGCAGATACATTTACCAGACTCCTTGTTTTAAAAGTTAAGAAATAATAGTGTTTTGAAATGAGATGATATTGTCCCTCCCAATTCACAGATTGTGTTCCGTATTTTCTTCAAATAAAGGTGTGTTTACACTCCTGAGTAATAATGTCCATATAATATAATTTAATCTTTGAAGAACTGGGGGAAAAAACAGTAGTTTGCTGGTATTTCCTCGTATTTTGGTTCGGATTATTGACAGTAAGGTGTGTTAAGTTTAAAGTAACACTATGTTATTCTTTTTCAGTTCTAATTGTAGTTTAAGCAATGTATAGAAAGGAACTTAATGATTTATAACGCATACAAGCAAAATGTCCTATTAGATCAACCTCCTTAAAGAGCAGAGTGATTCAGGCGAGGTGACAAGACCTCAGTCAGGGTAAAGGTCCTCACTCTGAAGTGCACACTGTTTGCATTCAAATCTGAGAAGTGTACTTTCCAATGATGAATGTCTCAGCAAACTCACAACCTCAACAACTCACAAGAAACAATACAAAACTAAAGCGTATAGCATACGAACCACGGTCACGCCGTCGTTGAGCAGCGACTCTCCGAACACCAAGATGAAGAGCACCTCGTTGACGTGGACCTGCTCGAACACGGCGATTACGGCCACGGGGTCCACGGCCGCGATCAGACTGCCGAAGAGAAGGTACTGCAGCAGGCCGATGTCCAGGTCGCCTGCAGCACAGAGATACACCACATGTGGCTTTATATGTAAGAAATCAGGTTCTTTAATTGCCCTACAATATTGCCGATATCTGTGTTGATAGGTAATAGATTAAGAGCGGTGAATCATCTTAGAAACAGGAAGCGCTCAAACGTTTGTGTGAGTTTATCTAATTTAGCAGTGATTCCATGTCAGCCACAGCTTGTTACAAAAAACATGACTGATAGTGTGTTTAACAAACTTAAACAAGCTTTATTAAATGTCAGGTCTTTGGCAGGAAAAACATTTTTAATCAATGATTTTATCACTGAGCACAATCTCGATTTTATGTTTTTAACAGAAACTTGGATTGAACAAAATAACAGTGCAGCTGTACTTATCGAATCAACCCCTCCCAACTTTAGTTTTATGAGTCAGGAAAGAATGCATAAGAAAGGGGGTGGAGTTGCTATTCTGTTCAATGATTCCCTTCAATGCAGGAAGACATCGTATGGAAACTTTGATTCTTTTGAATATGTGGCCCTTCAGCTGAAATGCTCCTCTCGAGCTCTGTTCCTAAATATCTATAGACCACCCAAATACTGTGCAAGCTTTTTTGATGACTTTACTGAACTGCTGTCTATAGTGTGTATTGACTTTGACCGTCTAGTCATTGTTGGTGATTTTAACATCCATGTTGACAACCCCCAGGACAGAGGGGCTAAAGAACTGTTTTGTGTTCTTGATAGCTATGGACTGACTCAGCATGTGACGGAGCCCACGCACAATAAGGGGCACACTCTGGACTTAATTATCTCAAAGGGTCTGAATATCTCTAAGGTTGTGGTGACTGATGTTGCACTGTCTGACCATTCCTGTGTTTTCTTTGAGAGCTCTATTTCTGTTCACAAAAATGTTCAAAAAGAGGTAACCACAAAGCGATATTTAACTGAAAATACTAGGGAAATGTTTACTCAGAATTTTTCTACCACACTTGCCCCTGCTAACATCTCAGTAAATGAGCTAGTAGATCATTTTAATTCAAAAATTAAAAATGTTATAGATGCCATTGCTCCAACTAAGGTAAAGGAAGTGTCTGGCAAGAAAATATCTCCATGGAGAAAGGCCATGACCGTGAGAGCAGAAAAAAGAGAATGTCGAAAAGCTGAACGCAGGTGGCGAAAAACAAATCTCCAGGTTCACTTTGACATTTATAAAGAGAGACTTGGCCTTTATAATTTGGAATTGAAAAACGCACGACAATCGTTCTTCTCTGACATCATTACCAAAAACAAAAACAGCGCACGTGCCTTGTTTGCTACCGTCGACAGACTAACTAACCCCCCAGTGTCAGTAGCCTCTGAATTTCTATCCACCAGGGCGTGCAATGATTTTGCCTTTTTCACTGACAAAATTCAGAAAATCAGACAAGCAGTCAGTGCCTCTGCATCAGGAACAGCAAATGTGTTGTCCCTATGTCCACCTAACATCAATTCAAACACCATGACACAATTCCATCAGATTAATGATAAAAACCTAGAGGACATTATACAACTTCTGAAATCCTCCTCTTGCTGCCTTGATATTATTCCAACAGGATTTTTCAAAGATGTTTTGCCTTGCATGGCCTCAGATCTACTTCATATAGTAAACAAATCTCTTCACTCAGGTATTTTTCTACAGGCCCTGAAAACTGCAGTCATTAAACCGCTCTTAAAAAAGAATAATCTAGATGCTTCAGTAATGAACAATTACAGGCCCATATCAAACCTCCCATTTCTAGGTAAAATCATTGAAAAAGTTGTTTTTTCAACAGTTGAGTAATTTCTTGCATTTAAATAACTGTTTCGATGTGTTCCAGTCAGGCTTTCGTCCAAACCACAGCACTGAGACTGCTCTTGTAAAGGTCTTTAATGACATCCACTTAAACACAGACAGTGGCAGAACTTCAGTGTTAGTATTATTAGATCTCAGTGCTGCGTTTGACACTGTTGACCACAACATATTACTAGACCGACTGGAAAACTGGGTGGGACTTTCGGAAACAGTTCTAAATTGGTTTGAATCCTACTTAAAGGACAGAAACAACTTTGTTTCTATAGGTAAATACACATCTGAGTTGACAAATATGACATGTGGGGTTCCTCAAGGCTCCATCTTGGGGCCTCTTCTCTTTAACATCTACATGCTACCACTGGCTCAGATAATGAAAAACAACAAAATAAGTTACCATAGCTATGCAGATGACACACAAATGTACATAACAATTTCACCAGGAGACTATGCTCCAATTCAAACACTGAGTAAGTGCATTGAACAAATCAATGACTGGATGTGTCAGAATTTTCTCCAATTAAACAAAGATAAAACTGAGGTAATGGTTTTTGGAGCCAAGTCAGAACGTATAAAAGTTAGCGCTGAGCTTCAGTGTGCAATGTTCAAAACAACAGATAAAGCCAGAAATCTAGGTGTAGTCATGGACTCTGACCTGAGTTTCAACTGTCCTATTAAAACAGTTACTAAATCAGCCTACTATCACCTAAAGAATATATCTAGGATTAAAAGACTAATGTCACAGCAGGATTTGGAAAAACTTGTCCATGCTTTTATCTTCAGTAGACTCGACTACTGCAATGGTGTCTTCACAGGTCTCACTAACAAATCTATTAGAAAGCTGCAGCTGATTCAGAACGCCGCTGCTCGAGTCCTCACTAACACTAAGAAAGTGGATCACATCACTCCTGTTCTGAAGTCTTTACACTGGCTTCCTGTGTGTCAAAGAATAGATTTCAAAAATATTGCTACTGGTTTATAAAGCACTGAATGGTTTAGGCCCAAAATACATTACTGACCTCCTGCTAAATTATGAACCATCCAGATCTCTCAGGTCTTCAGGGACTGATCAGCTTTCTGTCCCCAGAGTCAGAACTAAACACGGTAAAGCAGCGTTCAGTTATTATGCTCCAAATATCTGGAACAAACTCCCAGAAACCTGCAGGTCCGCTGCAACTCTGACTACTTTTAAATCCAGACTAAAGACTTTTCTTTTTGTCGCTGCTTTTAATTGAACTATTCATATCTTAAACTGTACTGTAACTTTTATCCATGTATTTTTTCTTTTAATGTTTATTTTATTAGCTTTTCTTTTAAATGACTGATTTTAAATGCCCTTTTCTTAATGTCTTTCATTTTTTGTAAAGCACTTTGAATTGCCTTGTGTTAAAAGTGCTATATAAATAAACTTGCCTTGCCTTGCCTTACATTCCTGGGCCTACTGTGAGACACTTGGCCTCTGGGTCCTACATAGGAGCAAGATACCTACAATTTACGGAGATCTTTTAGTGTGTCTTTGTAGTTCTTATGCATCTTTTTGTAGTTTTGTGTGACTTCGTGGTTATTTTCCCAATGTCTTTATCCATGTTGCTTCTTTGGCCCCTAGGTGCCCATTCAGGACTCCATCCATGCCTGCAAACTGTTTTTTGCCTTAAAATCCAATGACGGGGCTTGTTGAATCAATCCCTGCCCTCTATTAATTCAATGTTCATAGTCATACAAGCAGCAAGGCTCTATGGATGGCTAAGTACAGTAGGTCTGACAGTCCACAGTTTTCATCCAGATTGTAACATCTCAATAACTATTTGATGGATTGCAATTAAATGTGGTTCACAAGGTGTGTTACTAACTATTACAACACTATTTCAGATTATTTGTGTCACTGTTCTTTCTTCGTGGCACATGCTTGGTGTTTTCTGTTTAGTGTTTTCCCTTTCCTCTTGTAATCTTTCCTAACTACCCTCCTGTCCCTAATTAGCAAGTAGCACACCTAATTATTCATATCTATACTATGATACTTGATCCAAGTTGAAAATGTGATGATCCTCCAGTAAGTTCTGGAGTCCAAAACTTGGAAGCAGATGTATGGTCATTGAATTGCTAATTGCTAACTTCCTGTTGTTTTCATAACACCAGCATGCATCTATCCATTTCCCCTCGTACAGTATCTTTGCATCATGTATCCCCCTCTGTTCCCCCGCCCCTCCCCAGAGGACAACTCTTGCCTCTTTAGCTTATTGTGTCACTATCAATAACCACTTCCTATCTTCCACCCCACTTAAAATGAAACTCAGTGTGACTTAAAGCATTTGAGGCCCCTACATGTTAACAGCTGGAGTGTCTCTTACCCATGGCTCCTCCCATGTGACACCCCCACAGCGACAGCCCCAAGCTGGCAGCGTTCCAGCAGGTCCCGATGACGGCGTAGATCAGGATGGCCCCCATGTTGCTGAAGAACAGCTTGTTGGGCATGGAGTAGCCTGCGTCCAGGATGATTTGAGGCAGCAGGTAGAAGAAGAACACGTTCGGGGTCAGCGTGAAGGTCTGCACCCCGTCTGCACCCCAAATAATCCCCCCCAGGACGAAGCCGAAGCAGATGAGCAGGGCGCTCTCAGGGATGATGTTGGTCACATGGTGGTTGGACTCAATCACTGAGAGAAGAGAAGAAAAGAGAAAAGAAGGAAAGAGAAGACATGAATTATTGACAAGAAAAATGAATAGAATTGATTCTCGGTTCTTTCATTGCATCATAAATACACCATAAAAACACAACGGTTTGTGAGGTTTCAATATTTGCAAATGATCAACTGTTGCACTCGACTGAGAAGGGTCCACTTTTAGTTCTGGGCATATGATTAACCATCATGGTGGCGCGTATGAAGGTTTCTTAATCCCTCTAAGTAACTAAACACAGACTTTTGCTTAAGGTAAACTTAATGGTCTGTCAAAGTGTCACTAAAGCTTATTTAATAATCAAACTAACTGAAGCATAAAAGGAGACCCATTTCAAAACGATTTCTGCTTCCAGTCCACAGAGCTCCGGTTTTGTTGTGCCAATATGTTCCATTCAAAAGTATTTGAAGTTATGGAACATTTGGATGAAGGTCTAACATGATGCAGTGTTTGTATTTGTGCTTGAGCCTACAGAGCAAGTGAGATCTGTGTAAACATGATACAGCTTAGATACAGTTTGTGGTGTTCAATAAGAGCAAATAGTATACAATGAGGTGGTTATAAAAGGTGTAACACTCTTCCTGGCAATCTGTGGAATTTCTATTGCAGTAAAAACAGAACTCTTGTGTTCTCAGGAACAACCTGCTGCTTTGATAACACACACTCATGTTCACTCTGCAGGAAGGGACACTGTTCGTTACAATATTAGAGACATATCATGCTGCAATTACAAAAAATACACTTACCCAAGACATCCTTTCTCATTGTTAAAGATCCTAATAAACAATTTCTCAATCATATTTTAATTATTAACAATGGCGTTCTAAATGAACATGAAATAAAACTAAAGTTAGACGTTTTGGTTTTGTTAATCCACTCACACGCATTCACATATAGCCCTTATTATGCTAAGTGTTACTGTGAATACAAATAGCTTTGATTGATACCTGACATATCATGTCAGGAATTTGTCATAAAGAAACCGTTAAGTTAAAACATTTTTATGGCACTTAAAGGCAAAAACATATTTGCTCCTTATATAGAAAGTTACAAAACAAAATTCCATGACGAGATGATACAAATAATTAAAACTTAGGCTAACATGCAGAAGAACCGAGTATTACAGGGTACAGTATGTTACAAAAGGAACATTGTAGTTATTTGACATTATGCTGGTTAAAAATAGCTCAACATCATCTTGTTTCAAAGGAATCTGTCAAACTGCAACATTTAAACTATGTATGATATTAAGTTTGAAGCTTTGCTTTCTATTTCATTGTTATGTTTGTGAGATGAGAAAATATCAGGAACTGGCAGTGGTGGAATGTCATTTAGTACATGTACTCAAATACTGTACTTAAGTACAATGTTGAAGTGAAAGTCAATAAAGTTTAAAATAAATGTATTACAGTCCAGCTCAGTGGTATAGAGGAACATTTAAGGCAATGTCATCCACTCTATATGAAGAAAACCTTTACTTAACAGAGTATTTCTACAATGTGGTATTACTACTTTTACTAAAGTAAAGGAGAAGAAGATTTCTTACAAAGCTGGAAATCGGTTACTTGTAGTCCATATTTACCAGCCTGCATAAAAAAACACTTTCTAGCACATTTCAACTGTTTCTTACATACCCAATTTACCCACACCAGCCACCAATATCCATAACGCAATAACATAAGGAGTCTCCACATGGTGCCATTTAAAAGTCACGACGGGAATTCCTGTGATGACGCTGGATCCATGGCCGTGTTCAGTCTGATTTGATTTGAACTCAGATGGCGGCTTTGGATGGGGTTCTTGATGCGCCACGTCCCCCTTCACCTTTGTGACTCCTGAGATGAGGAAGATGAGCAACACTGGCCCCAGCAGCCAGAGGTGTACATATCCACAGCGTTGCATTTGACCAATTTAATAAAAAAACAGAGAACCAAAACAAATGAGTCCTTTATCTCTGATGTCAGGGAGGGGAACTGTCTGTCCCAAGGCCAGACTGAAGTGTGTCACACCTCTGATTCCTCCTTTTTTTCTGCTTCCTCTGTCTCACTCACTCTAGTTTACTATCAGTTATTATCTTTTCACTACTCTAGTGCTCTATCCTTCTATCTCAGACTGTGACTTTGTGTCCTTCCACAGTCTGTGGTCAGCAGTGTGCAGGCAGTTCAGAAGAGTGCAGAAGCCTCTATGACCAAGGTTGTGTGTGTGTGTGTGTGTGTGTGTGTGTGTGTGTGGTGTGTGTGTGTGTGTGTGTGTGTGTGTGTGTGTGTGTGTGTGTGTGTGTGTGTGTGTGTGTGTGTGTGTGTGTGTGTGTGTGTGTGTGTGTGTGTGTGTGTGTGTGTGTGTGTGTGTGTGTTTAGGCTGGAAGGTTAAGGGATGAGTAACGGATGTCCAAGAAAGGTTTCTGGTTATTCAGTCACGTTTGGAACATTTAGTCATTACTCTGTTTGGTCTTTCCGGTCTCAGATAAACTCAAGTTTGTCATGTGTGTGTCTCACTGGCATTGAGGGAGTTAGTCATGGAGCAGAGGTCATTTGATGTTAAGCCAACACCTGTCTGTGTGTGTGTTTGTGTTTAGTAACATTTCCATGGGCTTCATCTCAAGCAATGATTGACGCTGATGTTACTCAATCCTGGTTAAAGACTCCCAGTTCTTGACGTGAGAGTCTATGATTTAATGGAGCTACGATTCTATCGATTTCTATCCAAGACTTAAGCTCACCTGAAACAGCAGGAGCAGCCAGATGTGGGTTGACCCCGCACATTACTTGTACCCAGCTGTTTAAGGTGGAAACAGATGACCTTTTTAACTTCCCCAAACCCAGTGGCGAACCGTGTCTATCACAACTGGACCTTCTCTAGACACACACACCTTGGACCATCAGATCTGACGACGCTGATTGGCTGCATTTTTTTTTTCCGGCGGGGGGTGTGTGTGTCTACAGAAGGTCCAGTTGTGATAGACACGGTTCGCCACTTCTATCAAGGATATAGAATAACTTGGTTGAAGGATATTCTACCCAGAGACCCAGAACAAGATCTGATTGGTTGCTTTCTTTTCTAACACAAAACCACTGCAATGCGTAGTGCATGGTCCGAGAAGGACAAACAAATCAACGTAACACTGTAATATTACAGATCAACAACGCAGATACGATTCTCATTTATTCATTTTATATACATTTTATTACATTTGATTTATATAATTAAATCGATTTTTTGTTTGTTTTATCTGAGTGTTCCAGGGTATTCACTGAATACCTTGAAGGCCCTGACGGTTCACCACTGCACAAACCACAACGAAGGGCAAACTCAATTTGTTTTTTTCCTCCTTATTTTTATTTCAACTGCATTTGCATTAATACTCTTCGGCAACGGTAAAAGGTAACAGGGAATACAAAATAACTATCCATAATATCTTTTACTGGCAATTCCTACCTGGCAGAAGGGAGAATTGCAAAGAGAAAGCAAGGCGTAATATATAAATAGGTAACCAATATTTATTTATTATATTTTTTAAGCCACTAGAGGGGGGAAACACACAAATGGTCCCCAGAATGGAATCAAAACACTGGCCCCCACGGTGTGGAGTGAGCCCCACATGGGTTACCAGCTCTACTGGGTGAGTAATGTGGCGGCACATAGGGAACCAATGTTAACACTGGTGGTCATTACATTGTGCTATTGTGCACCACTTCATAATAAAATATTAAAGGAGGAACTTTTGTCTACTGCTACATATCCAATGTAACTATTAGAGAGAAATTATTAAAGATCTATGTCTTCAGCAGAACTCAGTGGGCTTGGTGCTGAGAAACACACACGGGGGAGGAAGGTGTAAAGTATGAAGAGATGGACATTGTTGGTTTTCATCTTTTCATGAGATTAGAGCAGACTATAAGAAACCTATAGAATACCAACAGCATTTTCCTATAAATTCCAATGACCCTCTCCAAAGTCAAGGTATATTAGTTTACTAAAACTACTACATACAGTACAAGTACATACTGTGCTAATTCCCAGAATTCCCAAGCATTTATTACTTTACTGGATGTTTTTTTAGGCCAGGTGTCCCATCCTGTTTGAGGACAAAGGACAATAGTCTCATTGGTTAGATGGACTGGTTTGATGATTTGATATAAGCTCTCACACAGAAACAGGTGTGAATGAGTTTATCTGAAAACATCTCAAGTTTCTCATATGGAAATATTTGAGAAATATAATATATATTTTCACAAGTTAGTAAAACAAACTGCCCTGTTTTCAGCATTGTGCCTTTTCCATCTGAAGAGGTTTTTTAAAGTGTTCATTTAGATTTAAAAAGGAGAATAGTTTTCTCAACACTTCAACTAGAAATTCACTGAGCACAAAAGGGATCAACATTTGTAATCTGTACGTAAAGCTAGAGTAAAGGATCATTGTGCTATTGTTTGTTGGGCTGTTATGAAAATGTGTTATTTGGGACAAAGCAAAAGCTTAAGTGTATGTGTGATTTAGTGTGATGCTATTCCATTTAAGGAATGTCAAATGTGTAATTATTTTTAAGTTAAAGCAAAAATGTTTTAGAAAGAGGATTTAATGATGTTGTATAATGAGTCAAATGAGATCAGAGCAGATAGTGAAAGTAAGGAGGAAACTTCCAATCTATAACAGATAAACAAACCTGCGTTTAGTGTCCATTGTTCTTGGATGAGTACAGAGCAATGCGGAGGATGAAAGAAAGCCAACATTGTGACTCTGGAAAGAGGAAATAAGATCTGAAGAAAGCTGATTCCATTGTGTGCCCTTGTGTGAGTAAGTATAAAGTCAACATTTATACTGTGCACATATTGTTTGAGTTTACACAAATGTACTTTATGAAAGTTTCTCTTTCTTTTTAAAGTGCCTTTCAAAAAAAGTTCCTCAAACATCAACAACTATGCTCTTCTGGAAATTCACAGCACGCTTAAAACCAAATGTGCATGTCAAAGTTCTAAACATAATTAAAGTTTTGAGAAAATAGCCCTATTATTCTTTTGTTTTTTTTCCTTTCCTGTACTGTGTTATATAGGTTTGTGTGCATGTAAATAGTCTCCCACACTGTGTAACACTCTATTAGCTAGCGCTCTAACACATACGTGAGGCGGGACATCTCTAAGCGGTTGACCAATCACAACAGAGCCGGCCAGCTAACCAATCAGAGCAGGCTGGGCTCTGATTTCAGACAGAGGGTGAAAAGAGGTGCTGCAACACAGAATCTTCCAACACAGACTTAACGACTGTAACTACTTGCGAACTAAAAAAGAAGACAGTGTCAGATATCATTGTTTGGTTATCAACACCATTCATTTCCTGCAACTTTTACAGACGACCACAGTCCCATATTTATGTCAGTGAAGGTGTACACAAACACACAAGTCAACATAACGGCATTTACATTGTCCACACTGCAACAACCCATTTGCCTCTGTTGTGAACACATGAAATGCTAATGACAGTGTTCTAGACACACAAGTACTTTGGCTTCACCTGCTGAGAAGTTTAATAGAGGTCAAGCTTTTTCTCGTCCAATTCATTATTTCAGAAATGGATTTCGTCCATGTCTCTTCAAAGCATTTTAATTTGAAACACCTCAGCCAAAATGCAAGAGGGTTTTCTTTGAAACCAAAATATTGATTTATATATAATTGTATCCATTTTAAAATGGTAATATTGAATAAATACACAGTGGGCGGGCGTAGTTTGGTGGAAGAAAAGAAGTTCCTATGAAAGTGATCACAATGAGGTCAATGATTTATCTTGAGTAACCAGGTTGTGATGTGAGACCTGCTTGCTTTGAGCCCAACTGGCCGAATGCTATATAGTTCTATTATATTTGAAAGAAGGCAAACATCTCTCCGGCCAGATCTCAAACAATCGGCAACTCACATAAAGCAAGTGAGAAATACTCAGGTTAGAGTACATATTAACATTTATTTTTAATTTAAGTTGGAACTGTCCCTTTAATTTAAGGATCTCCTTGAAAGAAGTATTTCTCCCACAGCTACCATCAACCACCCTAACCTTGAAAATGTTCATTCTCCACTGACAGACTAATCTATCATCCAATATCACTCGAATTAAATCACAACCACACTAAATATGCTAATAACAGTTTGTGGTTCGAACCCCTCCATGGACAATATTTGCTGGGACTGACCGATTTTGCAGAGCCAGCTGACCAGGACCCACAGGACCACGATGTACGGAGTGGAGACATGGTGCCACTTCCAGCTCACGATGGGTAGAGTAGTGATGGGCTCTCCTTCGTGTCCACTCTCTCCATGACTACTGTCCTCTTCTCCAGTCCCATGACCGGAGTCCGTCTGGTGCCCGGGGCTCGAGGTGGTCCCAGCATTGAATCCTGTGACTTCATTGGCGAGGCTTCTGGACAACATCAGGACAATGCAGAGAAGAAGAGCAAATCGCCATGTAGCTCCCATGTTTGGGGGAAGTTGCAAAAACACTTACTGAAAAGGTTATTTAGACTATAGACACAGGTGCTATGGTCAACCTCAGTCTTTCACTCCTCTCATGTGTCTCCTCCTTCCCTCTCAGGTCACTTTTGTTCAGTCTTACATCCACATCCTTCTCTGACCTGAGCACTGTGGCCTCTCTGTGCTCTCCTCTGCTGAAGATACAGTTATACAGCAGGTGAGGCTCAGCCCATTCTGATGCTCCTCTGTCTCCTCCCACTCTGTACCCAGGTCAGCTAGTTTGGCCACATTACTCAATGGAAGATTTGATGCTCTTATCCTTTCTCTATTGGCTGTGATTGCAGGTTTTCACCAATTTTACACTTTTTCTACAAAATGTATTGAAAAACACCATAACTTATGAAACTTTGTATTATGTGAATAGTCCTTTTTACAAACAACAAACTTGAAATCAAATTAATCAATAAATAAATGACAAACCAAGTTTTGTTTTCTTAGTTTTAGCCATGATTTATATGTGTATGTGCCAGATTAAAAGGGACACCTCAATATGTTACACTTATATCTTAGTTTAAAAAGTCAACAGAACATTATTTGGCATCTTTGATAATTAAATGAATGGATTAAGTATTTCTTACATAGAAAATGCCAAATATTGCCTTTTCCAGTGCCTCAGTTGTGGGCATTTTACGCTTTTCTTTGTTTTCTAATAGCAAACTGAATATCTTTGAGTTTCAAACAAGTGTTTTCATACCGCACCATAAGCTTAAGGAATTTGGAATGGGCACTTTTCCATACTTTTTGACATTTTACAAAGCATTATTGATTAATCAAAAATGAAAATGATGGTTACTTGCATGCCTTTAGTTATGGCTCAAGACTTTGTTATATACTTGGGGCGTATAGTCTCAAGGCAAACAAGTGAGAGAGCACGCAAAGACCCTTTTTGTTTCATTATAGCAAAGGTAGGATCCAGCATTATTAAAATCTCAGGGTCTGCACCTTTCTTATTAAAGATGTGACAATATGACATTCAGACTGGTTTTGTTTAGTTTACCTTTATTATCTAAATCAGTGGACCAAGGGGTCCCATGGTGTTTGGTAATTCATTGGCAAGTAATTATCCAAACTGTTTGGGTCACTTCCTGGTTCAAAGTTGACCTATCGAGTTCACTGTAACATTTAAAGTACATCATTTTATTGTATATTTTCATACCTTTATTTCATTTTCTACTATTCTTTATTTATGTTTCTTTACTTCTGTATTTTTCTGATTTCTTCCTTTTACTATTTTTATGTTGTACACCAAAACAACAAAGCACATTTTGATTCTGTAATTTTACCACACATTTTCTTAAAGAAGACATATTCAACTTTATCATAACGGCATCTTCCTAGTTAATTGAAGTGAAATAAGATGACTTTATACTGCCTCCAGGTGGCTTCTCTCAGTAAAACTGACCGTTCTATCCCTCTTGTCTTACATACATGTAGAAAGTATTAGATGAATCTAGGACAGGAAAGCAGTTGGACCCGTTTGTCTCCCTTATTTCAAAGGAGCACCTGCTCCCCGTACATCCCCTCCTCTTGGCCACACTGCACATCAGTGACTGTGTTGAGCCTTTATTGCCACTAGTGTGTGTTTAGGTGACAGAGACTTGTAAATTAACCTTAGTTTGGACGTGCCGTTTCGTTTTCATAATCAAGGTATTCCTCCTTTCATGGCACAGTCGCTTAAACTTATCAACCCTGAGCCTGTTTTTCAGGTCTCAGGCTCGAAAATGACATTCCCAGAACAAATGATTATATCTTCCCTTCTAAAAGGGTTAAATTAATAATCTTTGTTCTCAAAGCAATGATAAACCTGTGAGTTGGATGTAGAAAAGTCAGAATCAATATAGATGTTTTTATTTTAAAGAAAATTCAGATTAAACATAGTAAAAAACTGTAAATTATAGTGTCCGTCCAAAAATATTTTTTTACTTATAGTGAAAACTACCCTTGGATGATGGGTTAGTAGACTAAAAGCTTTAGGAATCCAAAGTACAAGATATAATAAGTACCCTGTATCATGATTGATGCAAAACAAGTGACATTTGACCTTTTTAGAGAGATTTAGCACAAAAAAAATACTTCTGGGGTCATTTGGGTGGATTTTCCATATCTCTGGACCCCCTTGCTCGATTTTGACGAATGAAATCTCTTTATAACCGCTGGAGCCAATGGAATCGAGGGAAAGTTCTACACACACAAACACGTTACCAAATAAGGAGTGAGAGTGACGCGTGGCCAAAACCGGAAGCTGCATACACTCTGTTGGATACCATTAGCAGCTAACTTTTTTTCTCCGATTTTTACATACAAATTGAATTATGGATTATAAATATTTTTTTCAAAGCGACAGACACATTATTAACCTATGGATTAACCAAATCAGCCACTTTTTTTCTCGTTTTAATGCCATTGAACACGTCTTTTGATCAGATTGACAGCTACGGTGAGACGATCTCCCGTAAAAGCTCCGTAAAGGTACGTGTTGTGATGTCTGTGTTTGCTTCCCCTGTCGCGAGTTCGGATCGCTCAGTGATGATACTATATACCTATATAATCTGTGGAGTCTCAGCTTTAATCGGATATATTGTATGTGCAGTTACGATAAGTAATAAGGGTATCTTTATCTTGAGTTCTGTGCCAAAGTCAGCTCAGGGGTCATTTAGACGCTTCTTATGAGACTTGTGTTTTGTTTTGGTAAAAATGGTTCATATTTTCAGATAGCTGAGTTTCTTCCCGTTAATCTGGTGCTACACATTAATAGTTTCATAAATGTTAAGAAGACCTGAGACACAGTCTCAAAAAAAACGTTGGGGGGCCCCCCTGTTCCAGGGCTTAACAGGTTGTAACAGCCATTGAACCAGGAAGTGACCCAAACAGCCTCTAAAATCAATGGGGGGATGTTTTATGTATTTGCACTCTGAAGAAATGTGCAATCTAGGCCTTTCCAGGAATCCATTGTTTTTCAATGATCCCATTGTTTTCCTTTAACTTGTTACCAGAATTATTATCTCACTCTTTCAATAAAGAATTACCAAAACTGACATATTTTCTGGATCTTTAAGACGTGTCAAACCTGTATCTGTATTCGAGCTGCAACGATCGGTCTTGATTAAAGGATTAGTCCATCGACAGAAAAATAATTGTCGAGAATCGCTTTAAGAGAACTGGGATTGTCTATTTAACGAAAATATATAATTAATCAAGGAAATAATTGCCAGATTAATAATAAATTGAAATATTTGTAAATTGCTGGATCTAAAGAATGGAAACAAATCAGAAATAATGTAGATATTCTCCCATGGAATTACCCCAAAATCTTTTTTGTGGTCCAATTTTTTTTATCTCCCATAAATCTGTAATCAAGTATTTGAAATAAATCCATAACCAGACAACTCTAATGCCTACAAAGATCCCTATTTCTTCCACCCTGTTACCATTAACTGCCTTAAGCAGGAAATAAAACTCTTCCTTACACATGAACGCGCTGAAACCTGCTCTCTTCTGGAACACCAGCATGGACTTCAGGGGAGCTGTTTGCACGGCAGCTCTGTTGATAGTTTATGAGTAAACTAGCCTCATTGACTCATACCAGGGCTGAAGATCTGTGTCTAATGTCACGTGATAAACAAAGGGTCTCTGTGAGGGCAGCCATTGACAGAGAGGTAAGTGGTTGGGACTTCACATTCACTTATAAACGGAAACTGGTTGAAAGGAACCAGCTAAGACTCACACTAAGCCATCATGTGGATAGGGGTATAAGTAAAAGGATGAGCTTGGTGTGATATCATAAGAATTATATCTACTTGTTTCACAAATGTGATAAATCAACATCAATTTATTTAAGGAAACACACCATAGAATCACATTTTTCATGCATTGGTGAATTTTGAGAGTTTGTGCTATTTAGCTTCTATAGCATATCTTCATTCCGACTTTGTGGAAAGGCCATCCAAAATAAACAATGTGTTTATTTTACAACACTTCATTTGCGTCTGTAGATTTGTTTTCAAAAGTTAGCATAAGATAGTGTCGCATTTGCACATTCAGAAAACTTCTAATTAAAAAAAGTTATTAACAGGGGTATTTTGATGGTGATATGTATTAGTGAAATGTGTTTACCCTGTAGTGTCTCCCCTAGAGTGTATTGCAATTTTTAAGTCAACTAAACAAAACACTAAACAACATTTCTGTCTGTCCGTCCTGGGAGAGGGATCCCTCCTCTGTTGCTCTCCCTGAGGTTTCTCCCATTTTTTCCCCTTTAAACTGTGGGTTTTTCTCTGGAAGTTTTTCCTTGTACGATGTGAGGGTCTAAGGATAGAGGGTGTCGTTTTTCTCATACTGATATTCTGAACAATCTGTGCTGTTGTATTTGCTGTAAAGTGTCTCTACTGTAGGCTATTGTTATTATATGTACAGCACTTTGGCTCGACCAAAAATCGTTTATAAATGTGCTTTTTAAATAAAACTTGATTTGATTTGATTTCAACCAGTCTGACATTCATTTATTACTCTGCAGAGTATATAGAAAAGGTGTAGTTCTCAAGATGAATGCTAACATTTATATACTAACATGTTTATGTTTTGCAGGACTAAAGCTAACAATGTTCAACATCTTAGTCTAATATGTTAGCATGCTAACATATTAGACTAAGATCAAGGGATCAATAAAGTTAATACAAATTATCCTGAGACGATCAGGAATGTCTGCAATAAATGAAATGTCAATCTATTTATAAGTTGTCCAGACTATTTACACGATACATTTTAACTTCATGCCAGAGATAAAGGTCAAGTGATCATCCATGTCATGTTCAACATTTCAGGTTAATCCATCTCGTAGATGTTAAGATCTAGATGTACAATTAAATGTATTATTCCTATCATTTATTTATTAAACTTACTGGAAATATTGAGTTTTAAGCAAAAATGTGAAATATTCTCTAGTTCCAGCATGAAATGTAAAGAGTTGCTGCTTTTATTTATCAAATATGAAGGTTAATTGAATATATTTTGGTCACTAACATACCATTGTTATAGCCATGTTTTAATAATAGTATTGAACAGGCATATCTGCAGTTCATTGATTGTAGGCACAAATGGACTACCGTGCTCATA